CGCAAACAAACACACACATACATACACACATACAAACAACACACACATACATATATATATACAAACATACACACATATATACTCTATCATTCTCTCATACTCTCACATGCATACACATACATACACACATGTACTCATATATACACACAAACATACACACAAATACTCACACACACACGCAGGCACTGTAGATGTACACACAAAACATGCACATATACATAGATTCACACAAGCACACTATCTTTATTAACGTTATCATCAACAACAACATCAACAACTACAAAATCATCACCATCATCAACGACAACAAAATCATCACCACCATCATCAACAACAACAACAACGCTATCAGCATCAACAACAACATCAACAACAGAATCATCATCACCATCATCAACAACAACACTATCATCAACAACAACAACATCAACAACAAAACAATTGTTTCCAGGCATACACACCCACTTAAATGATCTTTCCAACATAAACACTCCGTTTTAAACGAACACGTACAATGATGTGGCCTAGAAAAAAAATAATTAAGTACATACAAACACACACACACATACATATATTCACACACTTACATACACACAAACACACGCACGCATACACACACACATATACTTTATATATATGCACATAAACACACAATTATATATACACTAATTTTTTAAATATATTTTATAGTGGAAATATTATGTTTAATGACGATCTTATAATATTGGTTATTTTATTATAAAAACCTTTATTATTATTATTGTTGTTGCTACTATTATTTATATTGTTGTTTACATTATTATTTTTATCATTATTATTATTATTACTATTATTATTATTATTATTATTATTATTATTATTGTTGTTGTTGTTGTTTTCCTCCCTGCAAATGATTGGTCGACAAGGTCGTGACGTCACTTGGCAGACAAATGTGTTTTTTCTTGCCTGTTATATATATATATATATATATATATATATTGTATATATATATATATTGTATATTGTATATTGTATATATATATATTGTACGTATATATATATATATATATATCATTTATGTAGCGCGAATTATACTTAAATATCTCAAAAGCATTCACATAAATTAAACAGTATACGAGTGTTAAATTAGGGAAAAAAATACTAAATGTTAGATCAATAAAAATTAATGTGTCTTCAATTCTTTTATAAAATTGCTCAAAGAGCTTCCATGTTTTTTAGTAACTCCGGCAGGGCGTTCCAAACCATGAGGCCAGCAACAGCAATCTCACGCAATCCCATTAACAAACGATCAACTGGTACCGTCAAAGGGATATGTTATCGTCTGATCTCAATCTGAAACAACTCGATGTGGATGTTTTTCTGACAAATCTATTGGACAAATATTCCAGAGCCATTCCTAACTGCCTTCTTCTGTAGTTTTACGCCATCTCAAACCATTTTTACACATTTGATCTTTGTTGTGAAGCTTTTGAAGAGTGGGACAATTAGATGCTGTTGAAAATGTTAAAATCCTTAATGTATGTATAATGGCTTATTATGCTTTTATTTTAAAAAATTACATAACACACACAAAGACACACAGACAGAACACACACGCATGCACAAATATCTATAAATATGTATCTTTATACTCACACAAACATAAATACATTAACACAATCAACCCAAACATTCACATATATGAACGTACACACACAAATACCAGTACATAAACAATAATACCCACTCATAGAAATAAACATACACACAAGCAAAGACACGCGCGCGCACACGCACGCACACATTAAATAACAATACTAACGGAAATAGTGCGTACAAAACAACAACAACAACAACAACCTCATTGATAAATAAAATCAACAACAACAATAATAATACAAGATTAATAAGAAGAAAAATTACAATACAAAGAGTGATCACAACAAGAAAAAGAACAAGAAACATATTAAAAAATCACATCAACAACACCGATAACATCATTATCAACAACGGCCTCAATAACACAAACAACAACAAAATAAAAAATAGTATCAACAGCAAAAGCCCATGAATAACATCTAAGCTTACCTAATGGAGGACACCTCGTTAAGATCAATAGTTATAATAATAATAACTATATTATTTTTTCTTCTTTTTATTATTGTTATTATGAATATTTTTGTTATTATTAATATTATCAAAATTATATTTTTATTAGAACTATATTTAGGTCAGACAAGAGCTGTGTGTTATAAATATTGTTGTTATTATTAATATTATCAAAATTATATTTTTATTAGAACTATAATAAGGTCAGACAAGAGCTGTGGATGTGGTTTTTGATTGTTGAAAGAGCAAAACGGTGCATGCGAAGCAATTTTTAACCAGACGACGAATCAATAAAACGTCAAACAAATCCTAAGAACTAATTCACACATTTTTTGAATAAAATTAAGATTTAGAGTGAAAAAATACGAAAGAAAGTAATCATATTTATAAATTATAAAAAATTTTATTGACTGTAAATCAATAAATACAGGACAGCAGCAATATAAATGTTTTAATAAGTTCTAATAAATTTAAATAGATATAAGACGAAAAGTAATGCGAAGTTTCACTGATGGGCTGCTGTTGAGATTAAGAAAATGACAAAATTTTGAAAACCATCAAACCCACAGATGCATTTGTGGCAATAAGAGCATGTAGCTTTTGGATTAGTCATTCACGTAAACAAGCAAAATGGAAAATGTGATCGCACTTTAGTTCATGCACAAGGGTGTTTTCATGAAATTTCTCAATATGGATGGTACACTCTTCAAATGGAAATCTTCGGTTTGTATAGTTCAACACTTATCTTCAATTCCGTGCTAATAAATATTCTATATTCTGTAGATAATTTTCATTTATTTTATGTTTTATTTACGATTTTTGTCTGTGTAATATATAGTTTGAGGGTCATATGGGTTTCCACCGGATTTTATCAAATAGCGACCCATACATATCACATACACACATATACAAGCTCACATACACTCTCCTACGTACACACATGTACACTCTTAAATATACACGTACATACACATATTCTACCTTTGACGAACATTTCCGTGCACATGTTCCACAGATACATACACCTGTATTATTGCCGCATAGGGCCGTCTGTTAACCCCACTTTGCCTTCTCCAGTTAGTTTAAACAGCTTTGCTAGGAGTAGGACTTGGTTGACCGAGGGGGGATATTTACCGTGAATGGGAGCAATTTCTAAGAGGTGGGAGTTCATTTCTCATCTTCACTTCCTGCATAGTCAACCCGTTTCAACTTGTATGAAATACATATACACACACTTATACACATTCATAATACACATACACACACACACAGACAAACATATGTAAACATACAAACAAAAGCACACAACTATATATACATGCGTACATTCACACGTACATGCATACATCATCGTCAGCAGAAATGTCAACATTAATCACCATTCAACAAGTAATTAGCATTCAGCACAGTGCAACACCGAATGACATGCCAAATAATAATAATGTAAATAACAATAATACTAGATAAATGTTATCATTGTAACAACAACGAAACAAATTTGTGTTTGTTGACGTTAATTTGTGTGTATTAATATGTATGTAAGTGTGCGTGTATATACTGTGTATGTTTGATTGTGTTTATTCATTCATTTATTCAAAGTTTGAAAATTTTCATTTATCTAGCATCGCCATTCCTGCTAATTTGGTAGAGTTGGCAGTATTATTTGCACTTTTAATATAACAACTCTTTCATTTAACCCCAATATCAAACGCATTATTTGTAGAGAAAATTATTTTCGTCGAAACAATGTTGGTAGACTAATAATTCTGTTAATTTAGTTAAATAATTTCGAAGCATTTATTCAAACACATAAAGTAACATTTGAATATTTATAAAATTGATGAAATATCTCAAATGAACAATTGAAGTAATGTTAAGTTCCTTTTATAGGCTGCTTTAGAGGTCACGGTAATAATTACGAGACCTGGAATTTCATCAAACTTATACTGGAAATTGAAGTTCCTCAACCAAACGACCTAACCGAGGCAGTAAGGGCATATAGTTCGATGGATTAGCCATTTACGTAAACACATTATATGGAACATGTGACTGCACTTAAGTTCGTGCACGAGACTTCAAATAAGTGTCAAATAAGTGATTCTAACATTCGCCCTCGTTCGTGACTCCACTGCCAGGAAAAAATACATTTTGTCATGTATTTCTTTTTAATGTTGTTTTCTGTAGGATTTCATTGAAGTATAAATCCTGAGACGTCCTAGATAGATAGCATGTCGGCTCGTTTTCATCATCGGTAAGATTTTTTCTCGCTAAAATACGCCAAAACAGATTAAAATCATGGTCAGAAAACTTATGAAACCATTTGTTCTCCGTCATTATTTTTGTAAACGTATCTATTTGAAAGCTCGGACTTACTAGTTTGCTTTCCTTTTTGCTTACTCTGTAAACACATTTTATAGAACATGTAGAGCAAAAAAGAATGGTCTTTGGGCGAACAAAGAATTTAGACAAAGTATTTACAAACATCGAGACATTTGTAATCAGCAAAGACAATTTTAAAGAATTTTATTGACTGACTGCAAACCGAAAACTAAGAATGAACTGCAATATAAAAGTTTTATTGAGTTTCAGCTGATTTTTCAGCCTTTGTTCTAAGAAATTGTAAAACAAGGCAGCGATTACTGTTGTCTTAAAATAGATTACCAAAAATCTTAAAGATGTTGAGGAAAAATTCTTAACAATAATGTTTCCTGAAATTCAATCATTTTTAGGCTTAAAATTCTGCTAATTTAGTAAAATATTTTTTGGTGCATTTATTCAATCGAACAAAGTGTTAGTTTAAATTTTACAAAAGAAATATCTAATGAATAATTTCATAAATGGGCTGCTTTAGAGGTCACTGTAATTACGAGACCTGAAAATTTATCAAAAGAATGCTGGCATTCGAAGTGCATCAACCATATGACCTCATCGCGGCAGTAGGGACATATAGTTTTGTGGTTCAGCCACTTCCGTAAACACATTTTATGGAACATGTGACCGCACTTAAGTTCGTACACGAGACTGTTTGCTTCAAATTTTTCTGTACAGATGCTACAATCGTCGTATGGGAACCTACCGTGCATGTAGTTCCATACATATCTTCGATTTTGGGCTAATGTATGTAAGTATGTGTCATAAACTCTGACACTTGCCTTCGTAACTCCTCTACCAGAAAAAAATACATTTTGCGATGTATTTCTTTTTAAGGCTGTTTTCTTAAGAATTTCATTATAATACAAATCCTGAGCTGTTCTAAATAGTATGTCTTGCTCGTCGGCAGTGAGCAAATGAATTTGTTTTAGCAGTTCTCTTTCAGCATCAGTGTGAAAATCTTCTCCCACTAAGACTATTCGCCAAAACTGAATAATATCTTGGTCAGATAGCTTATGAAACCATTTGTTCTCTTTCAAGATTTTTGTGAAAGTATTGACTAGAAAACTCGGCATTGCTAGTTTGCTTCCTTTTTTGCAGTCTTCGTAGACTTCATGAATCGTCTTCACAGTGTCAGCTGCAATTTTCGACATTATTGTGACGAGCAAATTATTAGTTTAAACAAAATGAGGTACGATAAATTATCATCAGCAGGATTTGAAAGTTTTTAATGATTACTTGAATGAACCCTTCATTATATAGACATCACACAAAGAAGAATCAACTTTGGGTGAAGTTCAATCAATTTACAAGCATTGAGACATTTATAATCAGCAAAAACAATTGTAAATACTTTTTATTTGTTGTAAATCAAAACATAATACACCGCAATATAAAAAAATATTTATTAGTTTCATATAATTTTCTAATTAATTGTAAAAAAATGCAGCAATTAGCAAGAATTTATTGAAAAAAATTAATTTTCAAAATGGTTTCTGCAATTCCGATACCAAAGTTTTCTGACGATCCTAAAAAGCGGACGTTTCGACATCAGGCCTCTAAGGATGAGGCCGTGATGGAAATTTCTTGTTGCAGATGCTACACTCGTCGTATTGAAATCTCACAAAGTAGATTCAACTTTGGGCGCACAAAGAATTTTACAATGATACAACCATTGAAACATTTTCAGCCGGTAAAGACAACTGCAAATATTTTTTTATTGAGTGTTAACTAAAACGTACGGCTCAGTAAAACAAAAAATTTTATGAGTTTCAACTTAATTTTATAACCTTTGTTCTAAGAAAGTGTAAAAGAAGTGATTAATGTTGATTAAAGGCAGATTATTTTTAGATTTTTATTATTACACAGATAGCTAAAGATATAATTATCATTTTTATTTTCTGGAGTTCATTCAGTTTAATATGATTATTAATTTATTATCAGTTTTATTCATTCATATTTTTCATTTATCATATCAAAATTTCAAACATCATTTCTTATTCATTCATTCATTTGTTCGTTCTGAATGAATTCTCTCTGCAAACATGCATTGTTCATTTTATTTATCATTTTGTCTAATCAATTATTTATTCGTTCGTTTGGTAACTTATTCATTTATTTTTTTGTATAATCGTTCGCTCGTTCATCCGTTCGACTGTTTGTTCCTCTATTCATTCATTTCTTTTATTCATTCATTCATTCATATATTGAAATGAGACATCGCGGATGGATAATACAATGAAATAATCATTTTTATTGCATACACCCTCAATGAAGTAATAATTTATCGTTAATATTAACGTTATTGTCATTTTTCAATAACAACAGTTATTATTTTTGTTATAATTATTAATATTGTTATTATGTTGTTATTATTATTATTATCATTGTTTGTTTGTTTGTTGGTTTATGAAAGACAATTAATGTTACTGAACAATATTCTCTCATCATTGTCTCCAAAAACCCTGCTATGTTCGACGCGGCGCCTTCAAAGTTATTAATAAAAAATGTGTTTGTTTGTGTGTGTCTGTGTCTGTGTGTGTGCGCTTGTTTATGTGTGTTGGCGTGTCTGTCTCTATATATGTATCTGTGTGTTTGTTTGTGTGTGTGTGTGCGTGTGCGTGTGTGGGGAGTTACATTAGTGTTACATATTTGTGTATCTCTCTATAGAGTGTGAGTGTTGAAAGTTATAGAGTAGAAAAAAAAGATAGTGAAACAGAGAGAGAGACGAGAGAGAGAGAGAAAAAAAAAGAAAGAGAGAGAGAGAGAGAAAGAAAGAGAGAGAGAGAGAGAGAAAGGAAGAAAAGAGTAAATTGAAATTGAATGAAAGATAGTGAAAGAGAGAAAAAAGAATGGCTACATAATAACATTAACAAAAATGATGATACAAACATCAGCTACAATGATAACAAAAACATCCGTAACAATGATAACAAAGACATCAACAACAATGACAACAACTAATTTCCACCGCTCGTCCTCCCCTTTATCGTTCACCCCAACTTCCGGTTTATAACTGGTTCCGTTAATTAGTTCTTTGGTGTTTATTATTCCGAGTCGTTGCAATTATCTTTCTATGCTGCTTGTTTATTGGTCCCACGTTGGCGTTTTAAGTTATTTTATTATCGCTCAGGTCCGTATCTTTGTGTTTTGCGTATGTATGTGAACACGACTGGATGGATGTATGCATATACATATTCGTGTGTGTATATTAATTTGTATGTGTGCTTACGTGTGCGTGCGTGTGTGTACGTGATTATTGAGTGTAGTCTAAGAAGCAAATGTGTGTTTATTGCTTTACGGGGCTAGTTTTACCGAGTACGTATATCTCAGTCTATCTGCACACGCGTTTGTGTGTGTAGCTGTGTGTGTGTGTAGCTGTGAGTGTTTGTTTCTCTGTGTGTTTACTGTTTTAATTTTCAGTTCAAATTCTAGGTGAATCTTTGGATGAAATTTCGTTTGACATTTTTTTTTTTTTTTCTTGCTTTATATATTTCATTCCACTTCTACTCTGTTTTCACCATGTAAAAAAATGCTGGACACGAATGCAAAAAGAATCATCTAGAATTTAGGTTGAAAGTTTCTTCTTAGTTCATTAATTATTTTACCGTATCGAAACAAAACACACGCTCACAAAAAGATATTCATACACATATAAAGATATACACACTCACACACACACAAAGACATATACACACACATAATAGGATTTGTATGCACACATACAAAACGAAACAATAATACTTAAACAAATATTTCACTTTTAGAAACTAGTTTGATACACATTTGTCTTTTAGTTCGGAAAATACAATAAAATTATGCAAAATGTACAAATGAAAAACGCAAATATAATACGCATATACCTGAAAACGATACGCGAATACAAAAAGATGCATTGTTTTACAATTTGATCTGCTAAAATTATTAAACATTCATTATTAATGTAAATTAACATTTTATCTATTCATGGATAAACATTCCAAAATAGCAATAATACATTCTGGCGTAGGCCAGTATCGAAATAAATGAAAATAGGGTGAACTTAAACAACAAAAGCGTCCTACACACAGGCAACTATTCCACAACATAACAGTTTAACGAGTGTTTATATGTGTGTGTGTGTGTGTGTGTGTGTGTGTGTGTGTGTGTGGTGTGTGGGTGTGTGTGTGTGGTGTGTGTAGCAGATTTTAGCATGAAAGACCAATATTATCTCTATCACTATAGCTAGCATAGCATAAGATTTATATATGTGTGTGTGTGTGTGTGTGTGTGTGTGTGTGGTGTGTGTGGTGTGTGTAGCAGATTTTAGCATGAAAGACCAATATTACCTCTATCTCTATAGCTAGCATAGCATAAGATTTATCTCATGGCACGAATGAAACTTGATTTATAAGAAGATGGGCCAGTCGTGTGTTGTTGTTGTTGTGGTGTGGTCGTTGTGTGGTTGGTGTGGTCGGGCGTTTGATATAGTTATTGTAGTTGTTGCGGGGTGGCTGTGGTACTGTGTAGTTGATGTGGTTATGCGGTTGTTTGTGGCTGTTTTTTTGAGGTTGTTGTCGTTAATATATGTATATATAATATGTATTAAACTTTAGTCGACCTATTTATAATGATGTGGCGTAAAAATTTAAAATAAATTTGCAGGAGAAAAAAAACCGACGATATTGAGATAGTGATAAATAAAAAGCGTAAATAAACAATTGGGAAAAAAAAGTGAGAGAGTGATGAATAAGATGGGGCACAACAGAAACATATAGTAAAGTAAAAAAAAAAATAAAGATATATTGAAAATAAATGTTGATTGATTGGTTGATTGGATTCGTCATTCTTGTGTGTGTCTGTGTGGTCTATAATAAGTGAGAATATGATGTGTCATGAAGAAAGATAAGAGTAAGAAAGAGAGAGAGAGAGAGAGAGAGAATGAGAGAAAGAGAGAGAGAGAGAGATAGGGAGACAGGAGAATAAAGATGAATAAGACGAAAGTGAGAGTGACGTTTATTTAGAATCAGTTAATTGATGATTACTAAATTTATTATAAAAATGAAAACGATTAATAATAATAACAAATAATAATAATAATAATAATAATGGTAGTTATGATAATGGACGGTATCTTAGATTAATGATGACAGTTGCTATGACTCTGTGATTGAATTTGGCCGGAGATTAAAAATATTGATGGTGCCAACGTTTTAATAATGATCATGATAAAAAATGAAATGAAAAAAAAAGGTTTAAAAATAGGTCTCGTTATCTACATCACATACGTAGGCAGTAAAAAAAAGCTCTAGACAAACCTGCACACAGATACACACACACATACACACACACATATAAAGACACATATACACAAAGATACATACATTCCTATAAACATGCACACATACTCAAATACATATAGACAATTACAAACTTAATATACACATAAGTTTTGCTATACAATACACAAGTAAATGCATACAAACATACACCCATTCATACATAAACGCATACATACACACATACACAACTAGTCATACACACATATTCACACACACATAAACACATTCACACATACAAAATACATATATACATAAACTCACGCATACAAACGCACTTTCACACGCACATACGCAAACATAACCATCTCAATCTTTTCCTCTTATTAATTGCTTAGCAGTCTGCCTGCAATTTATCTATGAATTTGGTCGCT